AGCTTTTTCAATGAATGCATCCGATCCAAATTGTAAATTTGTGCATCTTTTTACTCTTTTATCATCATCTGAATTAGGTACTTCCTTTATTTTATCTTCTTTTGCATTAGGTACTTCCTTTATTTTATCTTCTTTTGCATTAGGTTCTTCCTTTATTTTTTCTTCTTCATTTGTTTTTTCTTCTTCTTTTGGAATAAATATTTGTGTTTCTTTGTTTTCGTTTTCAGTATCTTGATAATCTGAAGAACAGTATAATTCTTTACCACTCGATAGCTCTTCAAAGCGAATAGATTGACCGAGTTCAAAAGAAGATTCTTGATTATCTAGTGAGTATATGTATTCATAATATTCAGATTCATTGATAGAATCCGTTATGTACGCTTTATTGTTCTTTAAATCATTAACAATTTCTTCAAATGATGGTCTTTCTTCATATTCTTGTGACCAACACTTGCAAATAAGCTCCTGAAATGCAACTGGAATATCTCTTGTCAATTTTGGTCTCTCTTTTTCATTGACAATTTTATGGATTAATTCGAAATAGTTTGAATAATTGCAGAACTTTTTCAAAGTGAAAAGTTCATAAATAAGAGCTGAAAAGCTGAAAACATCACCTGCTCTTGAATATGCATTCTTTTCTAGTACTTCTGGTGGCATGTATCCGGGTGTTCCTTTTATTTTAAATGGAGAAGAGTATATATCAAAACTAATTCCTGTTGACACATCAAGACTTATTTTTTCTTCTTTTTTTTGCGGCTGTATAACTTTTACCAGTCCAAAGTCAGTGATTTTTGGATTCATATTTTCATCGAGCAATATATTTTCTGGCTTTAAATCTCGATGAAGAACGTTGTTTGAATGCAAATAAAGCATTCCTGAAGCAATTCCATAAACAACGATTAATTTCTTCGTTTCATTCCAGCCAGGAGGTGAAAGGCCATGTGATTCCTTTCGAATAAGATCTTTCAATGTTCCATTTGGCGCCAATTCAGAAATTATTGTAGGTGAGTTTGAATGATTGAAATCATCTGGACTGTAACCTATAAAGCCGATAATTGATGGGTGATTTAAGATGGACATTAATTTAACTTCTCGAAAAAAGAGTAGTGTTTTATCATCTTCTTTGAAATTTTTACTCATTAAAATATCTAACACTTTTGCAGCATAAAACATCCCAGTTTTTTTATCTTTGACTTTAAAAACTTCACCAAAAGAACCTTCACCAATTTTTAACAATGGTTCAAATCTATTTATGTCAATAAATTTGGAACTTTTCCGCATTTCTTACAAAAATTATATTCGTTTTCATTTTTTATATCACATTTCTTTTTTTTAGTGGATTGAGAAAACATTAAAAATTTATATTCAATGCAATTACTGGGGGAATTTATGAATAAAAGTTCAATGAATATTCATCTTGCGAGGGTCTCAATTGGAAATATTGAAATTGTGCGAGAGTCTCAATATTAAATAATCATATAAAATTATATTTTATTAGAGTACGCCGAAATAGTGAATTGTTATTTGAAAAAAGTATCAATAATGAAAAAGCATAAGTTATTCCAAAGAAAATAAGTTTTTTATATTCAAACTTGGAATTCATACTTATCAGTGCACTATATTGATAATTGAATACTTTAACTCACTAACAAGAATACATGATAGTTCTCTCATTTATGAAGTCAAAAAGATAAGAAATAGTTTTAAAACACAATTTAATAATGCTCCTACATTTATTCTTTATACAATTAGTCAGATTCAAAAAGATATTTCTTAATGTACCACAGGCAGACATTAATCAAAATCTATTAACTTATATGCACAAAATAAATGAAATTAGAACTTTTTGGATCAATCATAAAATAGAAATAAAGAAGCATCATAACGTATATAATCCTAGGCTTGTTATTCTGATATCAATTATCAGGTTTGGCACTTTTTTTAACTCAGATAATCGATAATAAAATGCTATCGATTGGAACTTTTTATTGATGAATTCGATTATCAAGTATGAAATGTGATACAAAAAAAAATATGCTTTTGATATCGAATCTTGATTAATCGAAATTAATACCTGAAAAAAACATTAAAAATAGTATTTTAATGGAATAAAAAAAATATATTCTAACTTATTATGTAAAAGAATCAGCTTTTATTAAATTTTATAACGGATATGTGAAGTAATCAGATAAAAAAGTTTACAAAATTTTAATACGTTAAAAAAATTTCAATATTGATAATCGATCTTTTATTTTTATTCATTATTGATATCAGAGAATAAATTTTTGATTTGATATTGATATCAGAAAAATGGATCAATTATCGATATCGAAAATCGAGACTTAACAAGCCTATATAATCCTAGCTATAACACTTTTAGAGATGGGTATCTTTTTTATCTGAATAGAAAGAAATGATAATAATTCAGATGATAATAATAGCAATGAAGGTCTACGATTCTTTCCAGTTCATAATGATCAAATTGAATTAATTAAAATTTTAAACATTTCTGCTTTTCAATTGCCTGAGCAAGATTCAAATTTTCAAGAATTATGTAAAATAATTCAAATAATTTGCCAATATGATGAACATATATTACAATATTTCATATCATTATGTGAGGAAGATTTCAATTCAATTAAAGAAAAAGAAACATTAGGAATAGATTTTCTTAATCTTTTTAATAACATCATTACATTACTATCAAATGTAAGGAACTGTAATGGATTTAATAAGTACTTCTCAAATGAATTTTTGTTAAAATTAATTTCAACTATTTTGGAACCACAATATAGAACTAATGAAGAATTGCTATGGAAAATATCTGATATTTTCGGTTCTTTGGATAAATTACCAGTTAAAGCAACTCATGTTATTAGATTCATGTTTTTAACAAAGAAAAAAGTTTTTATTCAAAAAGTATTTAGCCTTTTCCCCAAATTTTCAATGAATGAATTAGATCATATGAGTACGATATCCAATATCTATTTGCATAAAATTTTTAAAGGTGATCAACCAATTAATTTGATTAGTGATTATTTTGATTTTATTCCATCTTTACCAAGGTCTTTATATCATATAGAGCTAATTAATTTATTAGATAGAACACTTAATCAATTTTCAGAGAATGAAAATAATAACTCTGTGATTAAATTGATAATTAAGCTATTAGACATGTTAACTCCACAAAGGAGTAGTCAAGAATCGATTATTAAAAACGAATCAAATAATCAATCTACATATACTCAAGCAATTCCTCAATTTATCTATGAATCTGATCCAATATTTTGGGACATATTCGAAAAGCATAAAAAAATAATCATTGAAATTTTCCAAACTAATGAACAGTATGTATTTGTTCAAGATCACTACATATCGACATTTTTAAATGAGTATCCTGAGTTCTTTTCTTTCAATTTGCGATATAAAATTTTCAAACAGAAAATGAAAGATATTTTAAATCCTGATTATTATCTTCCATTGGACATCGATCCTGAAAACATTCTTGTTAGTTCTTACAATGAATTAGCTCAATATGATCCTGATAATTTTAAAATTGATTTTAGAATTAATTATTATAATCAAATAGGAAGCGATGAGGGTGGTTTAAGGAGAGACTGGTTTATTAATTTATCAAAAGAAATTTTCAATCCAGATTATGGTTTGTTTAAAGAATCAGACGAAATGACTTATTTACCAAATAGGTTATCGGGTGTAAATCCTGATCATAATAATTATTTTAAATTTGCTGGAGTGATTTTTGCTTGTTCTCTTATACAAGAGCAAAATGTAGAGCCACATTTAGCACGATCTTTTCTTCGTCAGATTCTCGGTCAAAAAATTGAGTTAAGTGATCTGAAAGATATCAATGAGCAAATGTATGAATCTCTCAAATTTATTGAAGAAAATGATATTGATGGCATTGGTGTTAATTTTGAAATTAACTATAAAAATGAATTTGGAATTCTTCAAACATATGAATTGAAAGAAAATGGTAGAAATATTGAATTGGGAAATGAAAATAAATTCGAATACATAAAACTTATGCTCGAATATCAATTAAGAGAATCAATTAAGGAACAAATAAATTCGTTTTTGGATGGTTTTTATTCAATAATTCCAATTGGAACTATTAAAATGTTGTCTCAATATGAGCTTGATTTGATCTTTTGTGGAATTCAAGTTATAGATGTGAAAGACATGCAAGAAAATACAATATTTCTAGAGTATAATAAAGGTTCAAAACCAGTTGTCTTATTCTTTGAAGTAATTTCTAAATGGAGTCAAGAAAAATTGAGAGAGCTGATCTATTTCATAACTGGTTCTTCAAGAGTTCCAATCAATGGTTTCAAAGCATACAAAGATAAAGGTATCCCTATTACCATTCAACAAGGAGGTGGAAGAGAAAAATGTCCATGTGCACATACTTGTTTTAATATTCTTGATTTGCCTGAATATGAAACCGAAGAAGAATTGGATCAAAAATTCAGTATTTCCATTAAAGAGCATTCGTTTCATTTGGTACAATTTTGAATTTATTCATGATATTATGATTTCAAAGAATTTAATGATTAAATAAATAATGAATATTTAACATATTCAACCTTTTGTATTTTTATTTATACATGCATGCATGTAAGGATTCCTTGGAAGTCCATACAAAAAGAATCATTTTTTATTCCCATAAATATTCCCAAAACAGTTATATTATAAAATGGTTTTCCCGTTGAAAATATATCAATCAAGGAGAAAAAAAAGGAAAAGATTTACCCTGATTAAAAAAAAAAAAACATATCAAAAAGAAAAGCTAAGAATATGGAATAAGTAGTAAATGTTGAAATAACTTTTGGTTTTCTATTGACATTGATTCAATATTAAATTATAGTTTAGAGTTTTTGACATTTTAAAAAAACAATTATTTATATTTCTAAACTCATATAAAATCAATGTTTAATTAGCAATTGTCTCTATGTTTTAGTTAATAAATTATAGAACATAAAGGGGCCGTAGCTCAATGGTAGAGTATTGGATTGCAGTTCCACTGGTTATCGGTTCGATTCCGGTCGTCCCCTCTTTTTAGATTTTTTGAATAAAATAAGAATATATTAAATATTTTGTTTTAATTATAAAATGATATTATTTGGTTGAATTTACTATTATTTCAAATTGAAAAGGTCATCAAAACCGCCGCCAAGTTCTAATGTTTCTTCTTCTTCGTTAATGCCTTCTTCTTGTTTTTCAATTGCTGGCGATTGTTCATTTTGTATTGTTCGTGTATTTGAAATAACTGTCAGTTTTGATTTGCCATCATCTATAACTTCTTGGATGTTTTTCCCTTCCAATTTGTTGACAATTTCTTCTGCTTTTGATTGATCAAATTCAATTCCAACACTTTCGATGATTTTTTGTATATCTTCAGCAGTTGGATTCTCTTTCCCCAATTTTGCAAGCATGTAAGCAGCAATGTACTTCATTTTATTAAAATGATGTGACTAATATAACCAAGCATTTTTGTTGTTAATGCAATGTCAGAGTTTGATTATATTTTTATTTTGAAAATTTCATAGGAAATTTTGAATGAAAAATTGTGACTTTAATAATTTTATTACAAAAATACTCTATAAATTGGAAAATGATGTGAAATAAATAAAATTTGACACTTGCATTTTCTAATCTTATTTCAAATGCTGAATTAATTAATAACATTGTTAATTTTTTTTTTGTCAGTCACTTTTTATAAAAATGACCTTTCACGTTTTGAAAAATAATTTTTTTTTTTTCACATTGCAATTATTGGACAAACTTTATAAACCAAAAAATTCGAGTTAACTATTCTTTCCTTATTTTCCAAAAGGTGCCAAGTTAATTAGACTTGAATTTTCTAGCTAATTCAAATTAATTCAAAAAGAGGTCAAGTTAATTATTCTTTTAAAATTTTAAAATGAAAAATAAAAAAGCATGTATAAATATATACATATATTCCAAGTTATGAATGTATAATATGTCTCTAATATAGAAAATTAAACTTTTTAATGTTGATCAACATTAAAGTGATTTAACGGTCATTTTTAACGTATACTCAATTTTTTTCAAAAATTTTAAAAATTTTAGTTAAAAAAATATGATAGATCTTCAAATGCAGTAGTGATTGTAAGATAAGATTGGGTACAAGATATCTACTGTAAATCTAATTAATGTTTTATCAATTAGGACAAGCTCTGACTTCATTGATAATTGACATCGATGCAAGTTTTGATGTTGAAATTAATGAATTTCATCAGTTTATTGCTTTGTATTGCTCATAATCTGTTTGCACTACTGTTTTATTAAGACTTCGTCCAGCCAAAGGCTTGTAATCATTCATGAAACACGTTTGTGAAGTTAAAAATAATACGATAAGTTTTCAATAATTTGTGATTTAATTGTACAATAATTGTTCATTCTTTTCGTTGGTGATAAAATAAATTTATGATAATAAACTAAATTCTACTTTTTATATAACATTTTACTTACATATATGCCAAAAAATGTTTACGAGTATGATTTTAATGATGGGATTAATGCATTTGATCCATGTATTCTGCTTATATTAAAGTTTTTCACTATGAATATTTCCTTTTTTGCCCTTAATATTGATGGAATCCTTTTTAGTTTTACTCTTTTTTCATGGCGGAATACTTTTATTAATACTAGCTGTATCATTTATCAGACAAAACTGAACAAATTTATACTATTCTGATAATTAAGTTTATCCGAATTTTAAAGTTTTAATAAAAATAATCAGGTTTTTAAGTAATTTTTTTCTAAAAAATCTGCATTTGAAGATCTATCTTTTTTTTATACTCACCCCATTTTCTATTAAACCGTCGGGGAAAAAAAATTGAATGCGATTTTTTTCAAAATTTTGAAAAAATTGAATGAAAATTTTCCGAAAATCTGCATTTTGGAATCTTTCAAAAATTTTTTATGGAAATTGAAGAATATATTCATCAGCAAAAAGAGCTTTATTTTTTGATTCTCACTCTTATTGAAGATCCATGTGATGATGAAAATAATTTCGAAAACTACATAAATTTTCATAAATCGCAAGATTTTATAAAAGATCATGAAGAATTTAAGCATGAACTTTTATTAATATCAAATATATCGAGAAATCATCACCGCAACCCAAGCTTTTTTAATAAAATTTTCAAAATTCTCGATTATTTGTTTAAAGATAATAAAGGAACCATTACAAACCACGAACTTTTCAATATTTTTAAAAGAAATAAACCAATTCTTCTTTATTTGATCGAAAACAAGATAATATTATTAGATGATATTATTATTAGGTACATAAAATTCTCATACGAAGCAATAGAATCAGACTTATTTCAATTCTTTTTACCAGAAATTAAAAAATATGAAGAAGAAAACGAAAACAAAACCCAAAAAATTGAAGATAATATTAATTTTGAAGATAATCGTAAAATTGGAGAAAACGATTCTTACATTTCCACATTAATTCGTAATGATTCTGTTGAAGAATTTATAACTTATGTTAACAAAATTAATTTGCCACTCTCTGATACGAAAATAGCAAAATCAATTTTTGAGACTAATCCGTTATTAATTGAAAATGATACAACATTAATTGAGTATGCCGCTTTTTTTGGATCCATTCAAATTTTTCAATATTTAAGATTAAATGGTGTTGAACTTGGCCATTCATTGTGGCTCTATGCAATCCATTCAAATAATGCCGACATGATTCACCTTCTCGAAGAATTCAATGTCCAACCGCAAGACGATACGTATTGTGGGTGCTTAGTTGAGTCGATCAAATGTCATCATAATAGCATCTCAAATTATATTGAGGACAATTTGTTAGTTTCAAATTTGAATGAATATTTGAAAGAAAAAATTTTTTCAGCAAGTTTGTGTTACTCAAATTACAATCATTTCCCAGACAATTTTGACAAGTATTCTGTTTTTTATTATTTGAATCGATATAATTATTCCAAACTTGTAAATTTTTACGTTGAAATAAAGAAGAGAGAGATAGAAAACATTCGAATTTCAAAAATTTTTTACTTTTGAAATTTTTTTTTTACTTTTTTTTAATGAAGAATTCAAAAAAAAATTTTGTTTCTTTTAGTGATTTTTAAATAATTTTTTTTTTTATGATGGAGCAATAAGAAATGCTGCAGAAAACCATCAAGTTGATGTTATCTATTGTTTATTGTTAAGAAAAAGTAATATTGATATTAGTTTCTTTAAGAATTGCGAAAATTTGACAAAAATTGCAATTCCGCCAAGCATCCCTTTGATTGAAGTCATGTCCTTTTATGAATGTACCAAGTTGACGCATGTGACGATTCCCTCATCTGTGAAAACGATAGAATCCTATGCCTTTTACGAATGTTCATCATTGGTTGAACTAACACTCTCTGAAAATTTAATAGAAATAGAAGATTCTGCTTTCAAAGGGTGCAAATCATTGAAGCAAGTAACAATTCCATCATCAGTGACAACGATTGGTGAGAGTGCCTTTTCTGGATGTTCATCATTAGTTGGCATATTCCTATCTTTATCATTGAATATAATTGGTCGTGAAGCCTTTTATTATTGTGAAAAATTGAGACAAATCGAAATCCCTCCTTCAGTAACCATCATTGAAATCGGTGCATTTGAGTCATGTCATTCATTACAACAAGTTGTTATTTCCTCATCTTTGATTACATCAATTGAATGCAAAACTTTCCAAGATTGTTCTTCATTGAAAGAAATAACAATTCCGTCTTCTGTTACTGATCTTGGTAGATCTGCCTTTGATAAATGCACATCATTGCATGAAATAAAGCTTCATGATTCAATCGAGTCAATCGGAAAAAATTGCTTCAACAGTTGCTCAATTGTGACTTTTTCTATTCCTCCTTTGGTTGAATGCATTGAGGATGGCACTTTTTATAGCTGCCAGTCTTTGGTGCAAATTTCGATTCCTCCTTCGGTTGAGTCAATCGGTGAATGCGCCTTTTACAATTGTTCTCAATTGAGCAGAGTTGAAAATCATGGTTCTCTGGCAAAGATCGGTGATTTTTCTTTTTATGGCTGCTCAAAAATGACTGAATTTGAATTCTCATCTTCAGTTTGGTCAATTGGAGAGTCAGCCTTCTATGGATGCTCATCTTTGGAAAAAATAATAATTCATGCTCTTATTAAAAATGTCGAAGCTAATGCTTTCAATGGATGCACTGCTATAAAAGAAATAGAATGTCCTTCTTCGATTGATAGAAAAGTTGTTGAACTTAATTTAGGTATCAAAATTGCTTGATTTTTCTTTTACTCATAAAATAAAAATTATTTTTTTTATATTGACAATAAGTATTCAATTTTTAAACTGATTCATAGAAATTGCCAGCTTGTCAATCGACTTTTAGAGAGAAACTCAAATTTCTTTCCATAATAAAAAAAATTGATATCCATTGCTGTAGATTCGAAGAAATTAAAGGAAAAGAAAAAAGATGAGAAAAAGAGTTAAAAAATAATGAAATAATGAATTTTTTATTACTCAATTTCCATATAAATTTTTGAGTTATTTTTAATTCACTTTTTAAAACCTTCTGAATTTTACGGATCTATTCTAAAATAGTGTCTATTTCCGAGGGTTAGTCAAAAAGTGGAATTTTTTACATCAAATTCATCTTTTTAAGGTACACAATTTTTACCGATTCTTACCGCCATCCCCATGGTTTCAGCTGCGCTGTGCTTCGCTCGACGCCGGCTAGGCGGTATGTAGCCTCAATAAAAATTATATAAAAAGATATTATTTTAGCATTTTATATCGATGAATTTTTCTATTAAAAATCCCACTTTTTGACTAACCCTCGGAAATAGACACTATTTTAGATTAGATCCGTAGAATTCTCTACTAAATAAAATTATTGAATTTTAAATAAATGCACTTATTTTTAATATTTTGAATTTCTCTCAAATGAATTGAAATATCAAGATTTTGGAATGGAGTTTATATATAATAATACTTTGAAAATAATTGTTTTTATTGTATAAAAAACTCATGAATGATATTTCA